GGCAGGCACTAAACCGCTGAGCCTACCCAGGGATCCCCAAGCAAGCTATTTAAATCTGATTAACCCTTCCTGTGCCTGTCATCCTATCAGGTTTTTGTCACCTATCTATCACATGGGAAAGGGTGGAGGGCTCCATCCAGGGTGGGGTAAAATCCTTTTAAGGGTGGTTTCCTCTTAGGGCAGGGGACAGGGAGTGGAGGTTGGGGGGCTTGTACCTGCCTGCCTGCCTTCCAACTATCTTTCATCATTTTCATGTGCTTATTATCCACTAATGTATCTTTTTTTGATAAAAAAAAATTTTATTCAAATTTTTTTCCATTTTTAAATTGGATTATTTAAGTTTTTATAGTTTTAAGTTCTTTATAATTTGCAAACACATTCTCTTGATGTACAGCTTTTCATCTTCTTAATGGTGCCTTTTGAAGAGCAAAAGTCTTCAATTTTTTTGAAGATTTATTTTATTAGAGAGAGAAGAGGGGGTCAGAGAGAGATGGAGAATCCAGCCGACTCTGCCCTGAGCAAGGAGCCCAATGTGAGGCTCCATTCCAGGACCCTGGAATCATGACCTGAGCTGAAAGTCAGTCGGTTGCTTAACTGACTGAGCCACCCAGGTGCCTCCAAAAGTCTTCAATATTTATAAAATCAAACTTAAAATAATTTTTTATGGGCCATGCTTTTGAGATTATTATCTATGAAAGACAGATGAGGTCACGATCTCCTATGTTTTCCTCTAGCTCTAGGTTTTACATTATATACATTACATTGAGTATGTGTCTAAAGGAAACAATCACTATCTGCACCCCCATGTTCACTGTAGCATTACAACAGCCAAGACATGGAAGCAACCTAAGAAAGATAAATGAATAAGCAATATGTGGTATAAATAGATTTAGACATAGATATTGGAATATTACTCAGCCACATGAAAGGAAATCCTGCTGTGATAACATGGATAGACATTGAGGGTATTATGCTAAGTGAAATAAGTCATACAAAGATAATTACTGCATTACCTCACTTGTATGTAGAATCTGAAAAAAAGAAACTGAACATATTGGTGGTTGCCAGAGGAGGGAGAAACGGGTGGAGGGCAGGGGAATGAAAAGAATGGGTAAAGGTGGTCAAAAAGGTAAAAACTTCCAATTATAAGATAAAGTTCTGGGAATATAATGTACATCATAGTGAATATGGTTAACAATACTGTATTATATATTTTAAAGTTGCTAAGAGTAGATCTTAAAAGTATAACTATGGAATGATGGATGTTAACTAAATTTTTGTGGTAATCATATGTATATATTATTAAATCATTACATCATACACCATGGACTGCTACAGTTGTAAGTGAATAATATCTCAATAAACCTGGAAAAATTGGGGCACCCGGGTAGCTCAGTCGGTTAAGTGTCTGCCTTTGGCTCCGGTTATCATCCCAGGGTCCTGGAATCAAGCCCCGCAACAGGGTCCTTGCTCAGCGGGGAGCCTGCTTCTCCCTCTCCCTCTGCTTGCTGTTCCCCCTTGCTTGTGCTTTCTCTTGCTCTCTCTCTATACCAAATAAATGAATTTTAAAAACTGGAAAAATTAAAAAATGTTAAGGAAACAAAGATACTGGTTCTCTAAATAGAAAGCAAATGAAAATGATCAAATTTTGAATTTATAAGGAAGTAGCAGATTACCATGAAGTAGTATCACCCGGTACTACTCAAAACTTCTGAGCACTATCACTCAAAACTATGTATCATGTTGACCGTTAAGTAAAAAAGATAAAGGTATATTAATAATCTATAGTTATCTACCATTGTTACTAACCAAGGTGAAGGTAATCACAAGAAACTAGTCTTCACATGCTAATGTTTGCAGATATATGTATAAGTAACAAGAAAACCCCACCAACCTTAAGCTTTTGATTAAAGTTAGCTTGCATTTCTTGATATGAACTGAGAATGGCAGAATAAAATGATTTTTATTAGCTTTTGGTATCAGGGGAAGCATAGTATTGGTTCAGTCTTCTGACCTCAAATTTTAATTGCATAATGTAATTGTAATTTAGCCTCATAAAAATAGAGCTTCAAACACATGACTTCTGTATTTTTTTGACATGTATTATTTTCAAATCTGTTAAAGTTCTAATCACATTTTCTGTGGAAAATTGTGACTTTCATTCACTTTCTCTTGAAAGAATTGACAAGATAGTGAAAATTTAGCTGCGGCACAAGAGTGCAAGAGCACATGGCTCTGAGGGTCCCAAACAGACCAGGTTTGACCACCCATCCCAGACAAACTCCAAAGGCAGACAGATGAATGGTGGTCAAACAAGAAAGGAATTTATTTCACTAAGGCCAATACCAGTGGCCTCAAAGATGGTCTCTGAAGTACTGACAATACCTCTAGGTTTACACCAGGTAAATGTGGAACAAAGGTCAGGGATACATGCAGGTGGGCAGTAAAGGCCAGAAGGATCATGGTCTAGAGGTGGGGACTTGCTGGCTCAGAGCAATCCTTACTGCTTGAGGGAGTAGTTTTGGTTCCTACCACAAGATACACCTGCAGGGTCTTTGGCCTGTGTAAAGAGATAAGCTGGAAGGAAGAACTTAATTAGAAAGTTTGAGATCAAAACGGAGGTAGTTGAAATCCTCTTTCAAAAAGAGGAAAGTACTGAACCATGGGTATACTATATTCCTGTTTGTGTAAACAAATAGGAGGAAGGTATATGTTCATAAGTGGGATGCCTGGGTGGCTCATCAGTTGAGCGCCTGCCTTCGGCCCAGGATGTGATCCTGAAAACGTAGGATCGAGTCCCACATTGGGCTCCCTGCATGGAGCCTGCCTCTCTCTCGCTGTGTCTCTCATGAATAAATAAATAAAATCTTAAAAAAAAATAAGTGTTTGTGTTTGCATAGAAGAAGTAAGCTACAGAAGTAAAACATGGGTTTTACTCTTTCATAAAATAATATTTTATATAGGGATCCCTGGGTGGCGCAGCGGTTTGGCGCCTGCCTTTGGCCCGGGGTGCGATCCTGGAGACCCGGGATCGAATCCCACGTTGGGCTCCCGGTTCATGGAGCCTGCTTCTCCCTCTGCCTGTGTCTCTGCCTCTCTCTCTCTCTGTGTGACTATCATAAATAAATAAAAATTTAAAAAAAAATAATATTTTATATATACATAATATGATTATATATATAAACTAAGAGAAGTATGACACGTATAGGCACTGTCTCAAAACTATGATTAAGACTGCTGGGGGATCCCTGGGTGGCGCAGCGGTTTGGCGCCTGCCTTTGGCCCAGGGGATCCCTGGGTGGTGCAGCGGTTTAGCACCTGCCTTTGGCCCAGGGCGCGATCCTGGAGACCCGGGATCGAATCCCACGTCAGGCTCCCGGTGCATGGAGCCTGTTTCTCCCTCTGCCTGTGTCTCTGCCTCTCTCTCTGTGATGACTATCATAAATAAATAAAAATTAAAAAAAAAAAAGACTAATTGTTGGGGCAGCCCTGGTAGCGCAGTGGTTTGGCGCTGCCTGCAGCCTGGGATGTGATCCTGGAGACCCGGGATCAAGTCCCACATCAGGCTCCCTGCATGGAGCCTGCTTCTCCCTCTCCCTGTGTCTCTGCCTCTCTGTGTGTCTATGAATAAATAAATAACATCTTAAAAAAAAAAAAGACTGCTAATTGTTAAATGAGATTGGTTTGATTGAAGGAAACTCACATTCTTCTGGTAGGGCTTCTATATATATAAAAATAGGCTGATTTAAGATTGTTCTGCAAGGCTGCATGAAGGAAAACGCTGTGGATAAGAAAAAAATGCCATTTCAAAACTCCTATTTGCTAAATGAAGTACTATGAATTGGACTACCAAGACTTATTTTCTTTCTTCCTACGTTAGTCAGTTGATACAAAGCAATGACTTTTATATCTAATATTGTAGCCTCGAACTGCATATACACTATCAGTACCCAGTCGCCGTATTAAATATTTGGTAGGTGGGAGAAGTGGAGGACAGAAATACAAATTTCAAGTAATTGTAAAATTCATCCTTTTAGAACACAGTTCAAAATGCCTGTTTCCAGGGATCCCTGGGTGGCTCAGCGGTTTAGCGCCTCCCTTCAGCCCAGGGCGTGACCCTGGAGACCCAGGATCGAGTCCCACGTCGGGCTCCCTCGGTGGAGCCTGCTTCTCCCTCTCCCTGTGTCTCTGCCTCTCTCTCTCTCTCTCTGCATCCCTCATGACTAAATATAAAATCATTCATGCTAGAATGCCAGGAAAGCTTTCTGGTTGTAGGATAAGGTAACAGTGGATACAAATAGATCATTTACGGACAGAAGTGATTTCTCAATCTGTCTTTGAATCTTCAAGGTTGTATTGTTGTCGTTTTTTTTTTTTCAGGTAATCACCGATTATTCATTCTATGCAACACAAAAATCACTCTTGAAATACTTTCTTCATTTGCTGCCCAGTGAAGCTACACTTCTCATTTCCTCTTACTGGCCGTTCTCGGTCTCCCGCCTCGTCTGGGTGACCTTGAGCAGGGAACTTGATCACTCTGGACCTCGTAACCACAGAAGACGTCTCCGCTCCCTACAGGGTCATTCTTGGATAACGCTCGTGGCTACGAAGTACCACAAGGAGGGCCTCCCTGGGTCTGCGCTTGGGTCAGCCTGAGGCGAACGCACCCTCACCTCGGAAGAGACGAGCCGCAGTGAGACCGCTGTGGAGAGGAGCTGGGCAACGCTTCCCACGGCCGCGGCCAGGCCGGCAACCCCGGAGGAGTTCTCCACGCCCTCGCGCAGCTTAGCGTCCCGGGGCTCGAGGAGGACCAGGCAGGCGGCTGGACTCCACAGAAAGCGCCTCCTTCCCGCGGGAAGCGGAACCCTTGACAACGCCCCAGCGACTTCCGGCTTGGCGCGCCTCTCCTTCAGTCCCTTAACTGCACTTTCGATTAAAAAAAAAAAAAAAAAAAACAGTAAATCTAATATTTCCCTCTGGCACCTCTATAGTTTCTTGATTTTCCACGCTTTAAGGCTGGATTCTAAGATAAAGATTAAACTGGGAGGGATCAAAGACAGGCGTGGCTTACGGAGGGGGGAGGAAAAAGGAGCAGATAAACCGGCCTGGCGAAAGTGCAGAGCAGGAGCATCCGGCTCTCTCTCCGCCCCAACCGGAAGTTGCGGGACTGAATGGATCTCCGAGCCGGAGGCTGCACCTTCTCAGTCTTTATCTGACGTTTTCGCTTGGCGGCCGCCAGGCTACCAGGTTCATGTGGAGGCTCCCAGGCTCCCGCGCCGCGCTTCGTGGGGTCCGCACGGCGGTGGAGCGGCACACTCGGGCCGAGGCGGCGGCGGCGACGGAGACGGCGGCGGGCGCCATGGAGCGCGCTGTAGTGCGTTGCGTGCCCTCGGAGCCTAAGCTAAGCCTGTCGTTCGCGCTGGCCGACGGCAGCCACAAGAACATGCAGCGCGACCAGAGCGAGCCTCTGGGTCGGGCCCTCAGCCGCATCGCAACCAACGCCCTCAAAGGCCACGCCAAGGCGGCTGCCGCCAAGAAGAGCCGGAAGAACCGGCCAAATGCAAGCGGCGGCGTGGCCTGTGCGGGGCCGGGGCCGGGGCCCGGGCCCGAGCCGGCCGCGGCCTGCGAGCCCGTGGTGAAGCTGTACTACCGGGAGGAGGCAGTGGCGGAAGATGTGCTCAACGTGGACGCCTGGCAGGACGGTGCGGTGCTGCAGATCGGCGATGTCAAGTACAAGGTGGAGCGCAACCCGCCGGCCTTCACCGAGCTGCAGTTGCCACGCTACATCATGGCCGGCTTCCCGGTATGCCCCAAGCTCAGCCTCGAATTTGGGGACCCCGCCAGCTCCCTCTTCCGCTGGTACAAGGAAGCCCAACCCGGAGCGGCAGAGCCTGAGGGCGGGGGCCCCTCGTCATTGTCTCCCTCTTCACCCTCTCCTAGTTGGACGGAGACGGGTGTCAACGAGCGCGTCTACACGCCGTCCAATGCAGACATCGGTCTACGACTCAAGCTTCATTGCACCCCAGGCAATGGGCAGCGCTTGGGGCCAAGCAGGGAGTTGGAAAGCGTGTGTCCCGTGGAGGCTGGGCCTGGCACCTGCACCTTTGACCACCGGCATCTCTACACCAAGAAGGTGACGGACAACTCTCTAATCCGCACGGTGTCGTACAACCTCCTGGCCGACACGTACGCCCAGACTGAGTTTTCGAGGAGCGTCCTGTACCCGTACTGTGCCCCTTATGCTCTGGAGCTCGACTACCGTCAGAACCTTATCCAGAAGGAGCTCACCGGCTACAACGCTGACCTCATCTGTTTGCAAGAGGTCGATCGCAACGTGTTTACGGACAGCTTGGTGCCGGCCCTCGAGGCCTTCGGACTGGAAGGCGTGTTTAGAATCAAGCAGCACGAAGGCCTGGCTACTTTCTACCGAAAAACCAAATTCACTCTTCTCAGCCAGCATGACATTTCTTTCCATGAAGCCCTGGAGTCCGACCCACTTCACAAAGAACTGCTGGAGAAGCTAGTGGTGTACCCATCTGCGCAGGAGAGAGTGCTCCAGAGATCGTCTGTCCTCCAGGTGAAGTACCTCTGCCATGGTCTTTACAGACCGGTGGGTTTTTAGGGCCCTGAAAGACTCTTCAGATTTTACTGAAGGGTGTTTGCTCTTGTATCTTCAGCACAAAAGTTAGCTTTCATTCATTCTTTGAGCAAATACTGAGCACTCTTAGTGTTCCAGGCACTCTGCAGATTGCTTTTAACAAGAGACCTTAGTCTTAGTCTAAGTCTTAGTGCTTAGTCTATTGGGAGAGACACATGCTGAATACAAGAATATAGTAATAACTAGTAATTTCTTACTACTTGCCAAGCACTGTGCTGACATATTTTTAAATTTTTTTTTAATTTATTTATTTATGATAGAGAGAGAGAGAGAGAGGAAGAGACATAGGCGGAGGGAGAAGCAGGCTCCATGCACCGGGAGCCCGATATGGGATTCGATCCCGGGTCTCCAGGATCGCGCCCTGGGCCAAAGGCAGGCGCCAAACCGCTGCGCCACCCAGGGATCCCTGTGCTGACATATTTTAAAGCAGATGGCTAAGTTTACTTATCCAAGTTCACAAGAGGAGGGCAAGGATTTTTACCCAGTTAATTATATATTTCATCATCACTGACCAGGGTGTTAAGCTGCCTTGGGGTTTTGTTTGTTTTTGTTTTGTTTTAATGAGATCTTTCCGTTTGCTTTGTGTTTTTTTAGATTTTTATTTATTTATCCATGAGAGACACACAGAGAGGCAGTGACACAGGCAGAAGGAGAAGCAGGCTCCATGCAGGGAGCCAGATGTGGGTCCCCATCCCGGGCCTCCAGGATCACACCCTGGGCTGAAGGCGGTGCTAAACCACTGACCCACCCGGGCTACCTGCTGCTTAAAGATTTTCCTTGTTTGACAGAGCACAAACAAGCAAGGGGAGCAGCAGAGGGAAAGGGAGAAGCAGGCTCCTTGCTGAGTGGAGAGTCAGAGAGGGAGGTGGGCTGGATCTCAGGACCCCAGGAGCATGACCTGAGCCAAGGGCAGACGCTTAACTGAACCACCCAGGCAATACATAAGCTGCCTTAGTTTTTAAAAACATGTTATTTTTATATTTGTCCAGAGTTTTCAGATTTTTTTTTATTTATTTACGATAGTCACAGAGAGACAGAAAGAGAGGCAGAGACACAGGCAGATGGAGAAGCAGGCTCCATGCACCGGGAGCCCGACGTGGGATTCGATCCCGGGTCTCCAGGATCGCTCCCTGGGCCAAAGGCAGGCGCTAAACCGCTGCGCCACCCAGGGATCCCTGTCCAGAGTTTTCAGATAACTGGTTTTGTTCATAGTAAGATTTGAGTAGCTACTTTTTTTTTTTTTTTTTTGAGCACCCAGTGTGTTTCATTCACCTGTGTAAGCTCATTTCAGTTGAATCCATACAACAGTCCCCCTTGAGGTGTATGATAGTGCCTTTAACCAGTTACCAAGCTGACTTAAGGAAGAAAGTCTCTCCATGTGACACTGCTGTAAATAGGTATTCCATCTAGGTGGGTCTAGCTCCAAAGCTGTATATATTGGACAGTTATTTAAACATGGTATGCTGAATCCTATATTCATGTGCATCCTAAAACTTCTTGCAAAAGTTAAATTTCATAATTGTGATCATACTTTCCAGTCAGGGTAGGTTATGAAATGTTGGTTCATCATATAGGCTTAGATTTTTTAAAAATATTCAGGAGATTGACAGTTAACAACTGAATTCTTGGCACTTTGCTTATTTTAGGTTTCTGTTCTTCAGTCTACAAAGGACTCTTCTAAAAGGATATGTGTTGCTAATACCCATCTCTACTGGCATCCTAAAGGTAGGTTTTAGTGGTTTTCACAAGTGACGTAAAAAACATGGGTAACTTAAAGTCAATAAGGTTGTTTACACACATCTTTTTTCAGTTTTTTTGAGGTGTAATTAATTGTACCTCATTGGGTGTCAGTTGTCATAACTGCATCCTATAGGTTTAAATATAGGTACAGCATAATGACTTACATATATTGCAAAATGATTGCCATAAGTTTAGTTAAATATCACCTCATAGAGCCAAAAAAAAAAAAAAAACTTTTTCCTTGTGATAACTTTTTTTTCTTAAAAGATTTTATTTATTCATGTGAGACACAGAGGCAGAGACACAGGCAGAGGGAGAAGCAGGCTCCATGCAGGAAGCCCAATATGGGACTTGATCCTGGCACTCCAGGATCAAGCCCTGAGGCGAAGGCAGACGCTGAACCACTGAGCCACCCAGCCATCCCCCTTGTGATAACTTTTAATATCTACTCTTTTAACGACTTTTAGATATGCTATATATCATGGTAACTGGTCATTTAAAAGTTCTTAACATTAGTGTTTTCTGTATTCACAGGTGGGTACATTCGTCTCATTCAAATGGCAGTAGCCTTGGCTCACATTCGACATGTCTCATGTGACCTGTATCCTGGCATACCAGTTATATTTTGTGGAGACTTTAATAGTACCCCATCGACAGGAATGTATCATTTTGTTGTCAATGGCAGCATTCCAGAGGATCACGAAGACTGGGCTTCCAATGGGGAGGAGGAACGGTGCAATATGTCCCTTTCCCATTTCTTCAAACTGAAAAGTGCTTGTGGGGAACCTGCTTACACAAATTATGTTGGTGGTTTTCATGGATGCCTGGATTATATTTTCATTGACTTAAATGCTCTAGAAGTGGAACAGGTGATTCCATTACCTAGTCATGAAGAAGTTACCACCCACCAGGCCTTACCTAGTGTTTCCCACCCCTCTGATCACATAGCACTTGTATGTGATTTAAAATGGAAATAGATTTGTTTAATGTAATTTAAGTCTGCTTTAATAGGAATTTAATATGAATCAGAACTATGTGTAACCTTCAAAGAGGAAAACTAGACCGACACCAAGGCAGAATGTTATTCTAGTTCTAGTGTCTTCATTACACAACTGTTAATATTTGCAGTTTTTCCACTTTTCCTTTTTTTCCTGTGTTTGAAGGAAAAACAAATATATTTATAATTCCCAGGAAGAACATTGAATTATGTACATTTTTATAAGTACCTTTTTTTTAAGCTAGGAATTCAGAATTTTGTAAAAAAAAAAATTTGATCCTTTAATTTTTCTATCATAACACATTTCAGATCAAATCATGTTTATATAATTAGGGGGAAATGCATACCGGTTAAAGTGAGAAGCCAGTGTCTAACACATGAAAGGAGTAACATTAGAGTCTACCTCTACCTCAACTTGGTTAGCGATTTAATGCAACTTTAGAGCTTTAACAATTAAAATATGCCATCACCAATTGTTACTGCTTCTCATCTTTACTTTTTCATAAGCCATTTTCATTGTTATTTCTAGGATTTTACTCCTTAGTGTATGGTACAAATGGACATTTGTATTCTTTAACTGTAGCTCATTTGAACTTTTAGGATGCAAGCACAATTTAGTATTCAAAGTAAATAGAAACATAATCAACTTGATCCTGTTTTCTTTAATCTTGCCCATGAAAAATGTTCATAAATCAATAGGGTATTTGACCATATGATATTCCAGAGGACAGCATAATAGATTACTTTATGTGAAACTGCCCACTGATGGGGCTTGACATTTTGGGTGAACCATTGAGCATTTCTATGTTGGAAGTATTTTTGAAATTGTTGGTTTTTATAAAAAGGAGAAAGTTGGGCTTTTGAGCATTTCTGAAATAAACTTTTTCATAGACTTGAGCATTATAATTTGAGTTATAGGAAAATATTGTATATATAATTTATATACTGTAAAAAGAATTTAAATATGAAGCCAGACTTTAAAATTAGAAATTACAGTTTTACTGATTAGTTTCTAGCCTAGGGTGGTAACGGCTCTTCTAACTCCATTATTACCATACCTAATTTGTAATGCTTTAGCTGTTACTTTTTGATGTTCAGGATAACTAATATCTCATATTTCTGCATTTAGTTTCTATAGCTTAGATATTAAAAGCCCATCTACATGAAGAAGAGTTCTGATTTTCCAGTCATGAGAGCTTTTGTCCCAAATTCTTTACTAATCTCTAAACCCAGTACCATAACAACTTTTGTCTTTTTGATAAAGTAGGCTGTATTTCATATTCCATTCACTATCCAATGTATTGTTAACTCTTAGCAAGTTTGAAAATGAGTTTTACTTAGTTCAGTTTGAACCTTGAAGTACTTAAAATACTGGAAGGGAAAAATTAAAGTGGCAGTTTCTTGGGATCTTATTTAGAAAAAGCTATAAATGAAAAATTGATGCTACCAAATTGTGCCTTCCTAAATAACATTTTTGACAGCATTTTATTTAACATCAGTTTACAACTACATGAATATATTAAAGCCAGAATCTTGATTCTTTTGCAAAATACATATTTTCTTCCTTTTTAAAATGTGTTTTTTTTTGGTCTGCTTTCAAACATGTTGACAGGACCTTAAAATAACTTGAGAAAAAACAAAGTTGGTAAAAGCAAAAAGTTGAGAAACATTTTGAAAGAAGAAAGTGTAACATACTCATACCCATAAGGAAAACCTTCGGATTCTGTATTAGCACTATGGCTAACTAGATTGAACTCTGGTCAGAAGAACTACTCACATTAAGCATTCCATGTCCTGAATCTTTAAATTTTATATTTACTAACTAAACAGTATGATCAGATTATATACCAGCATTTCAGAATAGTACAATGTAGTACATTGTACATTGTATTGTACATTGTACAATAGTACAATGATATTGTGATTTGCCATAAACTCTGATCATATCTCCAGTATACAGAAATATTAGTATAATTGGAGTCCAAAGGTGGGGAACACTAAGAAAATTGAACAAATAGGATACCAGAATTACCTTGTATTCATGAGTTAGAATGAAATGTTATTCGGAAATGTTTATGTGCTTAAAGCCATCTTTGTGATTGAACTTTTCTTTTACATTTGGATTTTTAAATGCATTTAATAAAGTGTGGAAAGTGTAGGACCTCTTTCTCTGGTGAACCCATTTTATGATGTCACAAGTTTTTGCCTTAGGAATTAACATTCCAAAATGTCATGTTATTGATTTTAAAAGGCTATCATATAGAACGCTGTCCTGTTAAATGAACTCTTCAACAGTATCCACTGCAGGCATGCTCTGGTAGTTCATAAATTATTAGCAAAAAAATCATTTCTGGCTGTAAGGTGATGTTCTTTAAAATTCTGAATATCAAAATTCAAATTTCCAAGTATTTCAGTAGGTGGTGACTTTTCTGAGAGAACTAAGGCCTGATTATCAGAATGGTGTAGTGGTTTCAGTTTGGAGATGTATCTGAGAAACAGTACAAAGGAGAGGGTCCAAAGAACATCATAGGAAGATCTTCCTGGTGGGGGGTGACACCATTAGATTTCCTATTCTCTAACTGCGAAACATAGGCAGAGCTTCTTTACAACCTGGTTTGAGGGGAAACCAAAATCCGTATTAATTCAAGTTAAAGATCTGCATTACTAGTTTATCATAAAATCCACATGACAACACAAATGGGGAAAATCTTTCCTCTTAAATTATAGCCAACACTAATTATCTAATCATAATTCAAAAACATTTAAATATTTTGAAAGTTTTTGTATTTTATTCTAGTACTAGAAGGAAACTCCTAGATTTCATTTAGGGAACGAAACAATTTTAAGATGTTTTAACTGATTTGGGTAATCAAATTATGTGGTCCCACTTAATGAGAAAGCACATGCTTTAGCATTGAAGGTACTAGACCATATTGGGTGATTTTTTAGCACTAACTTGAGAACAGTAAGACTTTTGAGATGACACCAAAACATTTTTTAATTTTTAGTGAAATTCACATAAGATTAACCGTTTTAAAATGTATGATTCCAGTGCATTTAGTACATTCACAGCGTTGGGCAACCATTATCCCTATTTCCAAAACATTTGCATCACCCCAAAAAGAAATTCTGACCCATTAAGTAGCCATGCCTTACTTCCTCCTCCCCTCCAGACACTGGCAACTACTAATGTGCTTTCTGCCTCAATGGATTTCTTTATTTTGGATATTTCAGCCTTTTGAGACTGGCTTGCCTTTAATTACCTTAATGTTTTTAAAACTCTTCCATGTTTTAAGTACCACTACTTCATTCCTTTGTATGGCTGAATATATTCTATTCATTTTGTTTATCCAAATGGACGTTTGGGTTGTTTCCATATTTTGACTTATGAATAATGCTCCTATGAACATTCATGTTCAAGTTTTTGTTTGGGCACCTGTTTTCAACTATTTTGGTTATATATCTTTCGAGAAACTGCCAAAATGTTTTCCACAGTGGCTACACCATTTTACATTCCCACCAGTGATGTAAGAGTACGTTTCTCCATATCCTCACGTGTCTTGGATTATAGTCATCCAAGTGAGTGTGGTCCTCTACCAATACATTTTTATCTTGTTTAGTCTAATTATATTGTTGCAGTCATGAACTAGATTATTGACAATGGATTACCCAACTCCTATTTTTTCCAGAGAGCTCATCTTCAGCAAATCCTACTTAATCTTACAAACTTGTCAAATTACAAAGGTCAGTCTCATTGCTTCTTTGGAAGAGATTGGGGGGGGGGGGACTTACAAAAGTCCTGGAGTGTAAATAATTAGAAAGTTTAAATAGCCTAAAGAAACAAAAAAAGGTCACTTTAAAAATGTGGGCCTAGGGTAGCCTGGGTGGCTCAGTGGTTGAGTGTCTGCCTTCGGCTCAGGGCATGATCCCGGCCGGAGTCCCAGAATCGAGTCCCACATCCAGCTTCGTGCGTGGAGCCTGCTTCTCCCTCTGCCTGTCTCTGCCTCTCTCTCTCTCTCTCTTTGTCTCTCATGAATAAATCTTTTTAAAAAAATGCTAAATCTTTTAGTTCAACTCCTGATGCCACCTTCAATATAACCTACCAGCTGGATTCATGCTTCTATAACAAGCTCTCTCAGCTGTTAAAATCCATGTTCATGTTGTCAGACTTAGATTGTTACTCATAATCTTCAATTTCCTTGAGAAACTTCACTAAAAACAATCACTCATTTCCATTTTCTGTTTCATGTAAATTTTATGTCAAAGAGTTTATATAATGCAATCCATTTGGCCCAGTAACTCATTTTAATGCTGTTATCCTAGATTGTTGCTGTTCATCTTCTTACTGTATTTGAAGTATTCCTAGTTTACATTTTTGGTTTCCTCTTATTTCCGTTCTTGAAACTGAAAATGGTTCAGTAGGGAATTGGACAGGCTTCATTTGGCATTCTTATATTGGATGAACAATACACTTTTTAAAAGAGTATTACATTTAATTTCTATTTCCCCTGTAGAATAGTTTGGAGAAATGCTCTATCTAGAGATGAAAGCATTTAGAAATAAAGCTGGCCTTTCTCAGAAAAGCTGAGTTAAGTATAGTGTTCTGAATATCTTAAACCAAAGAAAAGTATTTCTGCTGAAGCTGTAGAATTTTTAAGTATTCTAAGTAATTGAATTATATTACCTCTTTCATGTCCTTTTATTACATCCCTTAAAAAAAAATCTGCCTTTTTGCAGTCTGGCTTGTGTCATTTTTCTTCATCCTACAGGAAAGAATCTCACAATTCTTTGGTTCTTCAATCTAAAATTGATCTTTATTTTTTTTGCTCTAAGAGTTTTTGTCACTGCATGTGAAATCATCAAAAATTGTCATCAGAAACAAAACTCCATACTCATTACCAGCCACTCCCCACTCCCCCTTCTCCTCAGCTCTTCCCAACCACTTACCTACTTTTTGCCTCTATGGATTTGCCTATTTTGGACATTTCATATATATGGAATCATACAATTATGACCAGCTTTTGTGACCAGCCTATTTCACTTAGTATGCTGCTAAGGTTCTTCCATGTTGTAGTATCAATACTTCATTCTTTTTTATGATAATATTCCATTGTATGGACATACCACATTTAATTTATCCATTTATCAGTTGATACACATGGATATTGGGATTACTTCCACTTTTTGGCCTCTCTGGATAATGCTGTACATTTGTATACAAGTTTTTGAGTGTGCATGTTTTCATTTCTCTTGGGCATGTATCTAGGAATGGAATTGCTGGATCATATGGAAATTAATCTTTTGAGGAACTGCCAGGCTGTTACCAAAGTAGTTGCACAATTTTGCATTCCCACTGGCAATGTATGGGGGTTCAAATTTCTCCACATCCTAACAACACCTTTTTGTTTTGTTTTGTTTTTATTACAACTATCTTAAAGTGGCATCTTACTGTGGTTTTGATTTTCATTTACCTGATGGCTAATGATGTTGAGCATTTTTTATGTGCTTATTGGCCATTTGTATATCTTTGGAGCCCATTTTAGAAATTGCATTGCCTTTTTGTTGGGCAACCCTTCCCTCCCTTTCCTTTCAAAAATCATCATTCCTCACCTCTTCAAGGCGAGGCAGGGGATAAACTGTGCAGTCTTTGATATATACATCTGTTACTTGAATGGCACTCAACCCAGCCCCCAAGAAAGAGCCACTGCCACCAAAGAATTGGTCAGTTCCTGAGAGCCAACTTCCTGCCTGCAGATGGCAGTGCTAAGTCCCCAAACACCAACTAGTCCCCAAACACCAGCTGAATGCTTAAATGCCCAATATAGTTGAAAGTACACCATGAAAACAATTGGAAAGCTCTGACAAGGTCAGGAAGACACCTGACTCCACTGCTTTTTATTTTATTTTATTTTATTTTATTTTATTTTATTTTATTTTATTTTATTTTATTTTAAAACTTTATTTATGAGAGAGAGAGAGAGAGAGAGAGAGAGAGGCAGAGACACAGGCAGAAGGAGAAGCAGGCTCCATGCAGGGAGCCTAACGTGGGACTCCATCCGGGTCTCCAGGATCAGGCCCTGGGCTGAAGGCGGCGCTAAACCGCTGAGTCACCTGGGCTGCCCCTCCACTGCTTTTTAAAACACAAAGTACCTCTCAAGTGTCTACTCACTAACTAGTACTGCTGCCTTAATTAAATTTTTTTAAGAGAGGGAGGACTCGGGGAAGGAGAGGGTGAGAGGGCGAGAGAATTTTAAGCAGGCTTTCTATCCAGCATGGAGCCTGAGTCAGGGCTCCATCTCACAGCCTTCAGACCATGACCTGAGCCAAAATCAAGAGTCAGAAGCTTACCTGACTGAGCCACCCAGGCATCCCTACCTTCAGTATTCTTTACCTGAATCCAGATTATTACTTTTGCTATTGATTTCTCAGAACTTTTGTTGCTAGAATGTAACCACTTAAACTTTTTTTAACCTGGCTTGTGGAAATAGGGATAAAGGGATATTTGTAAGACAGAAACAAAAGTAGCCAAGTAACCTTCCAGTAATGGTAACTTCCTTTAAGTTAGGCACACTGAATACAATGTCATGACATATATGCTAGAAGAAGAAATTTAAGAATATGCTGGGCTTAATTCTCAGGAGTAAATTTTAGAACCAAGTCCTGATCAACTCCATGTTTATATTAAGTTGCCTTTAATGTAAAATACCTAGATTGTCTTAATGATATTACACATTAAGACTATTATTTCATTCCTATGATTTTCCTAAAAATAACTATGCTGGCAACATAAATAAATGTCATTTGGGAAGAGATTTTGTTGCGCCAATACTATTCAACACTAACTCTACTGATCTTGGGAAAAGGCTGGTAGTAGATTATTTCTAGTCATTTTCTCAGAATTCAACCATCTGAATAGGTAATCAGATTCTAGAACTGTTTCATTACTTTCTCCCTATACCAGATCTTCAGATAATGTATTTGACAGATATAGCAACTATTTGCTCTTTATAACTCAAGTTTTCATATAAATTCTACCAAAGTTAGTAAATATTAGTTAACATTTACATTATTGAAACATCCAACCTGCTACCAACAAGCACTTGTTTCTAACGATAAGTCAAAAGTCACTTTTACCTCAATACCAAGAGTGAGAACTTCTAC